TCAAGTACCCCTAACTATTAACAAAACTGTAGCTTATTTGTGCATCACTCAGCTGTAGATCCCCAAATAATCTCTGAATTGGTGCTGACACTGTACTTCCTTCTGGAGGGGGGCTACTTTTGATCTCCATGGTCCCTGTGTGTAGTAATGTAGTCAGGGCTCCCATCTCGCTTTTGTGATGGCAGGGGTGGTGTCACCTGGTACAGCTGCCGGTTGATACCCACTGGGATGACAGCACGTATGCACGTGACATCATTGCGCACGCGTGTGACGTCATCCTGCATGTGCGTAATGACTTCATGTGCTCCTACCTGCCGGTGGCCATCTTGGTAATGGATGCTAGCAAAGAGAGGAGGGGACGTTCACCTGGTGGGATAAGGTATGCCGTCAGGTCCTCTCCTTTGTTGTGCAACTGTTGGGCCTGACAGTGCCCAACTTTTCAGACGCAGTGACACCAAAATGATTGTCAGTCATTTTGGTGTCACCCCCTCTGACGCTGTCACCTGGTGCAGGCTGCACCTCCGCACCCCCCTTATTACGCCACTGTATGATGAACTACAATCTTGCTACAAATTAGTAAACTAAACGTGAGATTATAGTCCATCAAAGAAGCTACCTTACAACACACACAGGGCCTATGGGGAACAAAAGTAGCCCCCCTCCAGAAGGAAGGACAGTGTCAGCACCAATTCAGAGATGATTTGAGGATCTGCAATCGAGTGATACACAAATTAAATCCTGAGTTTAGTGTCACTTTAAGTATGAGAGAGTAATGCCCCCCAAAATTGTTCCTTGTTTAAGGACTCTATAAACAATAGATATGGCCACTATGCATGGAGTTGTGATAGGCCCAGCTCCCTTTTTTTACATCCTGTGGCAAAAGTCTCTCACCTGCGCAGTACATCGTCACTAACTTCTATGCGGCTGTTTCCCAGCTGGAGACGGACATAGACAAGCCCTATAGTAATCAATGTGGATATTTTTACTACAGTTCACCTCTCTTCTCTGACTGCGTTACCTGTTGTAAAATAAATGTTGCAGGGACGGTCCCACTTGCACTATATTGTATGTTGCGATATATTATAGCAATTTGCACCAATTTAATACATTCTGAGCAAGTTGTGCAATGTTATACATCAAATTCACCTGTGCTGCGGTAAATGATAAATTCCCCCCATCTTTTCTGCATCTCAACAAGACGCCAGATTCAAACCTGTACAGGAGAAGGACAGATTGTGAGCTTTGTGAAGTTGGCACCCCATGTTTGTAGAACCTGAATAAAAATATACCATTAGTTTGTGCTGATTTGTGTCGCAAAAATGAGCGTTTGTGCCGGTTCGGTTTTGAGACATTAAACATTCAATTCAATTCACACCCCGCCCACTTTGCACCCCATGTTGCTGAATTTTAAAAACAAACACACCATTCGTTTGTGCTGATTTGTGCCGCAAAAATAAACGTTTGTGCCGCTCTTTTAGAAGATATTGTGTGTTATAGTTGCTGAGACCCCTGCCACTTTGCTCCCCATGTTACTAAATTTTAAAAACAAACACGCCATTCGTTTGTGCTGCGTTTGTGCCGCAAAAAAACCCAAAACATTTGTGCCGCTTTGGTTTAGGCCTGGTTCACACCTGTGCGTATTGCATAAGCGCGTCACACGCGCGATATTGTGTGTTATAGTTGCTTAAACCCCGCCCACTTTGCACCCCATGTTAATAAATTGGAAAAACAAACACACCATTTGATTCTGACTGGTTGCTGTAGCCTGTAGGAGTAAACTGCTTGAGACTGTTCATCCTCCAGAAGCTTTGACAAAATAAAACTGAGCGCGTTGACTTCACCTATCACGTTAAAGGAAACCTGTCATAAGTGAAGTAAGGGGGTTGCCATCTCTGACCTCCGTTGAAAATATCAGTTCCCTGCCTGTCATTTTGATGTTTCGGCTTCATTACCTTTTAAACCACTAACCCAGAACAAGTACAGAGATATGAAACTCTGACTTTTCCCCAACTTTCATTTACTGCACACTTGTAGCTTTGAAGAATGAATGCCAGACGCAGTCAACTGACTAGATTTTTGTCTACACTGTGGAGGACAGTTCACTTAAAGTGATATTAAAGTTAAAAGGTTTATAAACTATTTTAAATGCTGGTGAAACTACTTACAATGAATACAGCGTCTTTATGTTTAAAAGTGTTAGTTTCCAGCAGAATCAGCTGGTCCCCTGAGCACTGGCACTGATGTCCTCTTTTAGGGTGTCTTCACAGTCACAGCAAGGCAAGCCACCCCCTGCTCCCCGCTCCTTACTTCTCCCTCCTTCAAGCTAGTAGATGGACAGTTCCTGGAGACTGATCTGTCCCTTGTGATCTTGTACTGGACAGGAAGTTTAGGGAAGCTGAGCTGAGAGAGTTGGAGCCAGCTGTTCGCACATAGCTTCTCCATTCTGGCTTTATGTTTGTAAAAAAAATAATGACACGATGTAGTATGCCATGTATTGTTGTTCATCTGAGGTTGTTTTTACCTAATTGTAAGACCTGCTAAGGACCAGATAATTTTTTTATGTCCCGATAGTTAAAACCATAGAATTCAAAGAGAGTGTATTTTCTTTTTCTGTACTTCAATGGGAACACCTAAAAAACGTCTGGAAATGCAGGCAGAAAAGAGCAAAAACAAAACACATCAAAATCAGCGAAAAAGGCTTATACTTAACTGTGAACAGGGATTATGTCACAGTGACAATGGTTTCATCAGATGGGTGGGGAGGTGCGCTACGTAAAAATACAGACATGCTGCACTTTTCCGCAGCGTACCAGATGACGCTGCAGGTAAATGTACAGTAGCACACTGCACCAAACTGCTGTGCAGGAACCTGAATGGAGTGTACTCATTAATGAATGAATGCACTTGAATAATTGCATTGCACTGCTTCCTTCACACAACACACTATTGGCGTGCAGCAGTGCTTGCTGCTAGTGTAATATAACATTTGCAGTGTAGTCCAGGAGCCCCAGTATTTGACAAATGATGGTGCAATGTAGAGAAATTGAGCTTCTTTTGTGATATACCTGTAGGCCAACAGTGGCTTCCGCAAAACCTGGCCAAATAGTAGCTCTGTGAGTGATCTATGCCTTCCTGCATATAAGCTGGGAAGGATGGTACAGTGAGTGAGACCCTATCATCATAAGAATGAGTATGGAGCTGCTGTATTGCTCATTCACAATGGATGGTAGGTTAGGTGCACACATCATCATAGGAATAATCGTGGAGCTGCTTTATTGCTTGTTCACAATGGATGGTAGGTCACGTGCACACATCATTATAGGAGTGAGTGTGGAGCTGCTGTATTGCTCGTTCACAATGGATGGTACATTGAGTGAGCTCCCATCACCATAGGAATGAGCGTGGAGCTACTGTATTGCTCGTTCACAATGGATGATAGGTTAGGTGCACACATCATCATAGGAATGAGCGTGGACTATTGCTGAAATCTGCACATGCGTAGTGCGCTCTCCCTGTTGCATCAGCGCTGAGCTGGAGGCGGGAGAGCACACTGCGCATGTGCGGATTTTAAACGAGCAATACAGCAGCTCCACCCTCATTTCTATGATGATGTGTGCACTTAACCTGCCATCCGTTGTGAACAAGGAATACCGCAGCTCCACCCTCATTCCTATGATGATGTGTGCACTTAACCTGCCATCCGTTGTGAACAAGGAATACCGCAGCTCCACCCTCATTCCTATGATGATGTGTGCACTTAACCTGCCATCCGTTGTGAACAAGGAATACCGCAGCTCCACCCTCATTCCTATGATGATGTGTGCACTTAACCTGCCATCCGTTGTGAACAAGGAATACAGCAGCTCCACCCTCATTCCTATGATGATGTGTGCACTTAACCTGCCATCCGTTGTGAACAAGGAATACAGCAGCTCCACCCTCATTCCTATGATGATGTGTGCACTTAACCTGCCATCCGTTGTGAACAAGGAATACAGCAGCTCCACCCTCATTCCTATGATGATAGGAGCACACTTAACATACCATCTGTCCTACCTTATATGCAGATGGGCATAGATCACTTAGTGCTATATTTTTGTCCAGGCTTTGCAGAAGCCTCAGTTGGCCTACAGGTATGTCATTTAAGCAGAAGTCCAGGAATGATCCTTTTTTGGAAGCTGGCCTTAATATAAATATCTATAACTGATGCATGGAGGGTCTCTGGGGATGCCGAAATTCAGTGTAGTAGTCTCGCTTCATACAGTGGTAGCTGTGATCTCCCGTCATCGGCTTCTCACCTGCTGAGATCAGGGAGTCACACGCTGGTCACCGCTGCCATTCAGAAAATGCCTTGTTTTTTTCCAGTCATTCTCTGATTGGATGAGGCGAGATTGTTACATCATGAAGATCACGGCTAGCGCTGTATATAGCGCAGACTATTTTAGAGATTTTTGTTATCCCGAGTGGCCCTGTGGAGCTCAGTTATGGATACTTACATTGAACCAAGCTGACCAATTATTATTATTATACAGGATTCATATAAATCCAACAGTTTGCACAGCGCTTTACAGAATGGAGAGACCAATATAAGTACTCAATAAAAGTTTATTCCTGGAGTTCCCCTTTAAAGTAAATTATCTACACTGTACCATAGTTTGTACACTACTAGGGCCCATAGGCTCCAGTGTAAATGTTATTATAAAGGTGTAGTAACCCTTTAAAGTTTTTTTTGTGCAAGGCGGAGGTTCAGCTTTCCAGCTATGACAACACACAGCACACCACCCACCAGACTCAGGCTGACTGAGGTTTCAAAACAAGTGGGCGTGCTCTGCGCTAACCACGCCCCTTTGAATGTTGCCGCAAACCCCCTTCACACGAAGGGGGCGTGCCGCCTCCTGCGCGCCCGCCCTATGCAAAATTCGCCGAACCAATAAGACGCCGTGAATCATGGCCACTCTCCTCCGTGCCGGCAGCCGGAGGGGGTTACCATGACACTGACGTTGTGTGCGGGCGGGCAGTGCGCAAACGCAGTGGGAGTTTTGTCAAGATGGCGGCGGGGCCAGTGAGGAGGCAGAGCTGGGAGATGCTGTGAAGCAGCCAGAGAGGCAGAGCACGGCCACACAGACAAGACAGCCGCCACCGGAGAGGGAGGGCCGACACAACGGAACATTCGGGGACACGGAGTGAGAGGCGCTCAGCACACGCCGCCACACCCGGGGAGGCCGCCGGACAGTGCGGGACACATGAGCCCGAGCAGTCCCCGGGATCCACCGGCGGCGGAGGAAGATACAGCCGGGAGCCCCTGAGGGCCGGGAGCGGGGCCACTGACGGCCCGGGCTCAGGATGAAGTTCGCAGAGCATTTGTCCGCTCACATCACCCCGGAGTGGAGGAAGCAGTACATCCAATATGAGGTGAGAGCCGCAATGACAGTCCGCCGGGAACATCAGTGACACATCAAGCTGTTCCCCCTTAGTAGTTGATTGGCCCTCACCCTTCCTTCTATAGGAAAGGCACAATAAGCCACCTGGATGCTGTCATCCATTTTTTAGAGTGTAAGCATTTTGGGCAAAGTTCTCATTCTCAGCCTTTCCTTTATATTGAATTATATCGTAAGTGTTACGGTCATCCTCGCCTTTTCATAATACTGCCAAACATGATGGCACCGGGTAAATCAATATTCCTCATTCATGTGTAGTTTGTGAAGGTTGTCGCTTTGGGGTGTCAATGTGAAGCCATCACCTGTAGTGAGCGTTTAGATCACCATCGTTTGATGGTTGCTACAGGCAACTGGCTCATTGCTGCGATGTTTAGCTCGCTTGGCTTACTTGTCAGTTGCAATAGGCAACCGCTTCACTCTTGCTCCATGTAGCTCGCTGGTGTCATTTGAAAAATGCTGTGGGTAAACGCTTAATTCTGGCTGCATTCAGATCACTTGCCTTGTTTGATGCTTGCTATAGACAATCAATTCACTCTTGCACCAATCAGATTGCTTTGCGGACTTGTTGGTTGCTATAGGCAACCACTTCACTCTTGCTCCCATGTAGATCCCTGGTGTAATTTGAAGAATGCAAGGGGGTGAACGTTTAATTCTGGCTGCAAGCAGATCACTTACCTTGTTTGATGCTTGCTGTAGGCAATCACTTCACTCTTGCACCAGTCAGATTGCTTTGCGCACTTGTTGGTTGCTATAGGCAACTGTTTCACTCTTGTGATATGTAGGTCACTGGCCCTATTTCAAGTCTACTAAGAGTATACACTTTATTCTTCATTCTGATCACTGATCTTGTTGGTTGCTCTAGGCAACTGCTTCCCTCTTGCACTATGTGGATCGCAGATCTCCTTTGAAAGCTGCTGTAGGTAAACCCTTCATTCTTGCTCCATTCTATTGACTGGTCTCGTTTCTTGGTTGCTATGGGTAATAGTTTTACCCTTGCTCCAGTTTTTTGTTTTGGATCAGGTTAATTGTAAAGAGAGAACCTGGAGTTACAGCAGCAGTGCTGGGACTTGTAGTTCCACGCTAGTTGAACGATCAGGTGACATGAGTTTATTCTGGACCCTTACATGTTATTCGGTGCTGATTGGTAGATGCTGGAGCATTACTGGTGACTATAGGCACTACTCAGGCTTCTTTCTTTGTGAAAGGTGCACTTGTAAAATAAAAGTGGGAATCCTTTTACTTGGGGGCAGGAGCCCCATATTTCATCGGCTGCTTTCATATCTTTTGGAGTTCCATTTAAATTTGACACATGTCAGATACTAGGCTGACTTCACAAAGCTAACCCACCATTAAGGGGTCCGATTGCTCCAAAAGGTGACAATTATTTTTAACTGAGTCGTTCCAATGAGATTTAAAAATCAGTCACATGACTAAAATAAAGATCTCCTGTTACATTAAAGCTTTGTGAATTGAGCCCAACGTGTTTACTCATCCATCCACAGACCTACATACCCTATGTTGCTTCTTGGATTTGTACGGGGTGTATGTTTATGCAGTGAAGTATAATCACTCCTCTCCGCCCTCAGCACAATGTGTCTCAGTCCTGTCCTCGTGGCACACCTGCTTTCCGTAAATTATTAGCAATTATGGTTGTATTTGTCTCCAGTCTTTCCCTCAGCACATTTTCCAGCTCTCTGTCTTCGATGCTAGACCTAGAAACGTGAAATAGTTCACTTACCGATTTTCACAACTTCAGTGTCACTTGCTTGAAAATAGCCCTTAGTAGAGCTGTAATGTAATTACACACTTTGAGAAGGACATGTAGAGATTAGTAACAATCCGATTATCAAAGAGCCTAATCGGCCAATGTAGACACAGAGGGAGAAGAGATGTGTGACAGCTTGAACCTTCTGATAGGAACATTTGCTTTGTGTTGGTTTAGCTGAATCAGCAACACCTAGGAATAAAGAGTACATGAGATGGTTTGAATGGTGAGGCCCTTACATGTGGGTGTCTGTTATCGGACAGGTGAAATATACATTTAATGCTAGGCCTGTATAAGGTGTAGGGGGGCAATGACCGACCTCAAAAACAAAATATCTGGCCAGTTGATTCTGTTCCTGAGTTCAAACAACAGGTCTGCCGAAGTTCAATTCATGATCTGGCAGTAACTGGCTATGGCAGACACCTGTCATCTAATTTCTTGTGTGTGTATATGTATACATATATATATTGAATGATTTATGTTTGGGAAGAAAGTTGCTTACATCTAGAATATGACTGAAGGGTCAGCCTGGGCAGATGAAGCTGGTTATGTAAGGTCAAATAAGTGACACTTTTTATCCTGGAAGTGGTCCAGGATATTAACAAGGTGGAGAAATTGGTTCAATACTGTAACTTTCTGATACTAGCCTTTATAAAAGGAGATTCAATTAACATGTATGGTTAACCTGAAAACATACATCCATACAGACATGTAGTGTGTATGTGTAAATTTTCACTCGCAGGTCTCGTAAATAGATTTATTGGTCGATAGGGCGCTTGTCTTTCTCAAGTCATGGACCCGCCTTGAGTGCACTCTCTCTCTCTCTATCTAGATAGAGGTATGTATGAATGTATGTATATTCCCACTGTTATGATCTATGCTGATGAAACATAATTTGAATGTTCAAATAACTTGCATGGAAGAATCCTTTTTGTAAAGAAATCAGTTTATTTTTCCAGGCACGCTGTCAAGAGACTCACCTTTTTTCTTTATTTTTAAGGATCAAGCAGTAAAACAACACGAATCACTCAAAAGTATGTCCTATAAATAAACTGTTAGTACATATAAAATGTATCAAGTAGAATTATTGGCTTGTTTTGTTCACTAACATGGGAAGAATGGTCCGAAACATACATACTTGCATACATACTCTTAATCTCACATGAGTAATCTCCTTGGCAGCGTAGACAGCTTTGGTCATGTAATGGTGTTATTATATTTTATATAGGTTTTGTGTGCAGAAAGAAAATTATATACATTTAATAGGCATCTTATCAGCATGGAGAGAGAAGGAATGTATGTAACTAATGTGATGATGTAGATGTGTGCTTTAAATGTAGTTTAAAGGGTAAGTGAAGAGGAACTGAAACCATCATCCGTATGCGTATTGTTACATTGCCTGCTGTGTTACATGCTCTCCAAGTATCAGCAGACATTTGTCTTCAGAAATGTAATACATTTGATAAAAATGTGATTTAGGACCTGTTCACTCGACGTCCGTTTTGTGTGCTGACCGGCTCCGTACGCTGCTGCACTCAAAATGCATCCCAATGTATCCCTATGTGTTTTATGGGCTCCAGTTCTCATTTTGACAGTCCAGTCCGTTCAGCTTACGACAGAAAAAATACTGCATGTCACATTTTGTCAGGTCCGCGAACGCGTCAAAAACGCACTGCGCTGCAGCTAACGTACTAACAGCCCCATTCCAGCGAAAATTTTTTGTTGTTGCTGGAACGCATCAAAAACGCGGCCAATACGCGGCCAAAAACGCAATGCATCAGCAGCTCCACGTCTGCTGATCAGGACCTGATCTCATGTGAACAGGCCCTTAGTCTCGTGTGTTTTTATTTGTGTATTCATAAGAGAATTATCCATGAGAATGACTTTGTCAAATGGAGTAAAATGTAAATGGAAGACCCCTGACGACTGTTTTAGTTGATCCAGAATTGTCACTGACTTGGGTACTATAGGATGAAAAATGTGAACGGTGTGATAAAAATGATTGTAGGGCGGCTAAAATGGGTTGTTGCATGAAAAATGTTAGAGGGCATGTTGGGAATAGTTCATCACTAGTTGGACCTCTGCTTGTTTGCATCTTGATTATCATACATGTATGTCTAAAAGGGTTTTAGGTTTCACAAATGAAATGAATTTGGGAAACGCATACCTGTATAGATTTCTATATCTCTGTTATACAGAAATTGGCATCCGCTTCTATGTGAACACTTCCCTGCCATCTCTGGGCCACAATATAACATTTGATAAAACCCAGACTTGTTTCTGTTTCTGAGCAGCTGTTGCTCTGGCCGACACATAAACAAACTCAACAGTTTTAAGCAGTGACGGGCTTAACATTTCCTCTATTTCATTTTCAAGGCTAAATATACATAGCATTATAAGGATTGTTATTCTTGCCTGCTCCTTGTTCAATGATTTTCCCAAGGATTGGAACACAGTTTGATTAGGCGTTTACATGAATTGTATTCTGTTCTAAAGCAAAAGTTGTAATTGTGTGTATGCTACTTAAACTGAACCCTCCCGGTGGGCCTGGACTGGACTGCAGTGGTTAAATGCTTGTTTTGGTCTAGGGTACCATAAAAAAAAGCACCTTTGCATGCCTTATCCCTCACTCTTCTGGTGCTCTCTTCCCTCCAACGCTTCGGGTTGTGGGCAGGCCCTTGGTGTTCTCGCTTACAATGCAGGACTGCTGGTCCTGCATTGTACATGATGACCTCAGAATACCTGAGACTGACTGAGCGCCAAAGAGGAGCTTTGGGAAGACCGGTCACTTGGGGGATATATAAAAACATTTTTATTTTCCAATAAACACTGCTGTTATTTTTGAATAAATAGTGTGTGTGTGTTGGTTAGTCTAAAAATGTAGAAGTTAGTCTAAAAAAAGAGTTATCAGTGAGCCTTCATTGTTAGTGCTCTAAATGTCCGGTCTGGTTCACACCTAAGAGTTTTTGAGAAGTTCGAAAAACACTTTTAAATGCCCAACACAAGAAATCCCCTGGTTCACACCTGAGCAGGAAAACGCCCGAAAGGGTACATGTTCTTTGGGCAGTTAAAAGTGCTTTTTCGTCCCATAGACTTAATTGGAAATGCCCAAAAATGCACGGCAGGCGCATGTTGCACATTTTCATGAGCGTTTTTATGCGCGTTTAAACGTGCGTTCTTCCATTGCCCGCAATGTTCTATGAGCTGCC